AGACAACACACACGAACTCAGGAGCACAGGCTGCGCAGGTAACACAACCCAATACACAAACACAGACACACAAGCTCTGCACATGACATGAGCCTAAGACAAGCAAAGTCAGACAAATCTTTTGCACATTATCTTGTGGATATTTACTCCTGTCCACTTGCCATTGTGCAGCAGAAAAACGCCCCTCTGTGCCCAATGTGCCTGGTTCAGTCCTTATGTTTTATCCCAGGATGTCCACAAGGCTCATGCATCTTCGTCAGGCCCATCCTGGGTCTAGTGGTGTGAAGGACAGGGACATGGAGGACACAATACAGGAGCTGGAGGCCCGAGTCGCAATGCTGGAGAGCCAGAAAGGCGTGCTACAGAACAAACTCAGCCTGGCCAAGCAACACATCATGGACCTGGGGGCCCGCACTCCATACAAGTACAGCAAAAGTACGTTTTAAGAAATTTGCAAGTAATCCGTTTGAAAGATGTCTGGAAATATAACAAAATCTTGTGAGGCATCTACATCCTTTATAATATTTCTTGCTCCCAATGTGTGTGGATAGGCAAAAATTGGGAGGGGGAGAGTGGAATCAGGAGGGCGGCGCAGACAGCACCGCCTCGATACGGCCTCATGCTGGAAGACACGAGGACAGAAATGGAAAGACTGTAAGTAGGAAACACACAAAGAAAGCACAATGAGTCTATAGCTCTATCTCAGTTATGATACATTTGTTAAATCTTTCTTGATAATTCCTATAGAATTACCTCCTTTTTTCCTCACAACATTTCTCCCATCCAGAAGATCCAATATGACAGACCAGCTGAGGATGACAGAACTGGAACTTACAGCTCAGGCGCTCAGAGACAGTCTGAGAGAAAGAGAAAAAGAGATAGAGGGGACTGTTAAAGAGCTGAGAAACCAACAGGCTGACAGACACAGGTGTGTGATGTAATTATATAGTTATTCACATTGCATAAACATCTTTAGAGTTGTGGGCAGCCATAGGCTTCAAACTGTGCTAAAGTAACATCTTGCAAAATTTTAACAACCTCCCTACAAAGCATGGAACAAAATAGCATCCTTCTAGTTGCTACTTTGAACACAGTCATGGGAAATTATTATAAGAAAATACAATACAACTACGTAATGTGCATCAGTCTCATAGAAAAACATGAAATACCCACAAAAAGAAACAACATTTTTTGTGCTCACTAACACAAAATATTTTCTTTAGATTTTTCTTTTGTAGCATCCATCTATGCTTTTATAGTAGTTTACATATATCTCATACATGTGTGTTCTGCATTGTCCCTGTTTAATAGTTTTCTAGCACACAACATGGGGCTCAGCATCCAGAATGCTTTGCATTTTAATGCAAAGCATGTATTGGTTTCTGTGTCTGTTTAATGCTCGTCATGATTTTTTTAGAACAACTATCAGAGAGAATGTGGATCTGATCCGTCTACAAAAACAGCTTTCAGACAAGAGTGCTGCCTTGAGGGTGACAAAGGAGAAGTTCTCAGACCTGCAAGAGGTGAGGTCAGAGGTCAGATTCTCCTGCCCCTCAACAATTCTGTTATATAAGTGGACTGCATTGGCAAAAACTTAATTGTAACTTTTTGTTCTATCTAGGCATATGAAAAACAGCTAGAGGAGGTAATATTCCTGATTTTCAAGCTCAGCATATATTTTACATTTTCGATTTACTGAGTTTGTACTCACACTAATGCTGATTGTGTCCTGTATTTGCCTCAGAGCCAGAGGTCACTCAGGGAGAGTCAAGGTGCTCTGTTGGAGAAAGTTGAGGAGTTGACTGAACAACTGAAGCAGGAGCGGCAGAGAGCTCTGGCTCTAGAGGGACAGCTTTCAACCACCAGTCTGTCTCAACAGACCCTGGACAAGGTTCCCCATTTGCATCTGTGTCCC